GAGATTCACAGGCACTACCCTTCACAGGCAAACACGAAGTCTCAAGAGTAGCCTACTCCGAAGAAGTGGGGGGCTCGGGGCAGGGATGGAGGCTAAAGAAAGAAAAAAAGAAAAAGAAGAAATAAAAAAGTAAGAAAAGAGGAACTTCCACCTATGTTGGGAAGGAAGTGAAGAACATGAAACAGGTCATTTTCCTTTTTTGTTTCTTGTTGTGAGGTCCCTGTAGCGCCCTGCCAGCCAGGCAGGGCGGATTCCACGCAAAGCAGCTAACTGCCTGGCTTCATTCAGTTCCAGACAAGTACTGTAGCATCCTGTATCTGACCTCAATCACAGCATAAGGGATGTTTTTTTTTTTTTTTTTTTTTTTTTTTTTTTTAAATCTGCTTTTGGTGGATAGAAGAGGTCCCTGACTGAACTGCTACCCAAAGGCAGCCCGAGTTTCAACTGCAATTGAAACTCCGGCCCTGACTACAGTCTTCCCCCTACGGTCATTATAGCTGAATTTGGCGTATCTTTCGGTCTAAATTCAGCTATAATGACTGTACGTTGTATTCGGGGGAAGACTGTAGACTGCTAAAACGCAGTTTCAAATGCAATTACAAACTGTCTTGGTGACTGCGCTGAAGTTACCCCTTAAAAAAAAAACCTTGTTTTGGAAAACTCGAATAGAACGCATATGCGTCACGTTTGGGGGAAGAAGCTAGTGTGGGTATGGGTCTCACTCCAATTGCAGGCATTGGCAGCTCCACTAAATTTCAGGAAAGGTTATAAAACCTCCCCGCCACGAAACCTTGGTCTTCATTTCACCCAAACGGGGGAAAAGGTGTTGCAGGCCCCAATATGACGTTCCTGGCTGGCCCGGTAATGTCCGCTGTGCAAAGAATGGCAGGAAAATGTCTCAGAGGGTGGAAAAATTACGCCGAAGGTCATTTTGAGGACTGCGGCACTTTTTTACCCGTCCGGGGGGAAATGAATACAAAGGTTTTGTCGCGGGGGGGGGGTATAACTTTTCCCAAAATTTTGAGAGTTGTTAGACCCTTGACACTCGCTTAGTTTACAGTCTCTCTCCTTTTAGGGCATCATTAGACACTCCCCGTCACTGAAGTTGTGGTTACATCGCGTCCTAAGAAACCAAATTCCTTAAAAAAAAGTGGAACGCTCCAAGGACGAATCCTTGGGGAATTAGGATTCCCCAGCCAATCCTTGGTGGACTATGATTCCGCAACCGTTACCATTTTGTCCTCAGCTCGAAGCGACCCTCCTGAGGTCCCTTCAAGCCAAGGATCCGCGTTTCACGAAGAGGAGAGGGCGAACAAGTAGAGAGACTTTACAATGGTAGAATCCTGATCATGGCGGCAGGCCTCAAGCAAAACTGTTTTTCGTTTTGGGAAAAGTTATAAAACCTCTTCCCGTGGCGAAACCTTTGTAGTCATTTCACCCCAAACGGGACAAAAGGTGCCGCGGTCCCCAAAATGACTTTTCATTTCATTTTCCCTGCGGCACTTTTTGGCCCGTTTGGGATGAAATGAATACAAAGGTTTTGCCGCGGGGAGGTCTTAGAAATTCGAGTGTCCATTTCGTGAGGAAGTGGAGCGAGGCCGAACTCATGAGATTTCGTCAGCGGAGAGAGTAGTGGAACGAGACCCTATGCCCTGAGCCAGTAACGTGAGCTAAGACTATATTTTTAAAAATTTTAAACCACCAGCACTTTTCCCTGCTTGAAAAACAAACGCCTGCCAGTTAACACGGGGGGCGGGCAACCTCTGCACTAGGGGGCCAAAATGGCTGGCGGCGGCAGCCAAATTTGATAGGGTGTCGGTTCTTTTGTTTTTTGGCGCCCAGTTCAAATGTAGGCTCGGCACAGACAACTGAGAAAGGTACAGGAGGTTTAGTAGAAAGGCTAATTCTTATAAGCCCAACCCATTCAATTGCCTGTCGAATCTGGACAGGATGGCCTTTCAGGTGTTTTTGATTGTCTTTATAGTACTATGGGGAACGCGTAGCCCCCACATCCGTGCTCAAGCCTCAAACGAGGGAGCATGAGGGAGCTGCACCCACCAGCAGGCCTGCGTGCCTTACCAACTGAGCTTGCCCACTGGATTAAAGGTCTGCGCCCCACAGGCACGCCGAAAAGCGTGGGTTTTGGCGCGGATATTTATTTCAGACCCTACAGCCAATTGGATGTGGCCTGGAAAACCTTGAGCGAACTTCCACTCGGTGCAATGATGGCGAAATGATGGGGAAATGATGGCGAAATGATGGCAAAATCCTCCGTGTGGGAGCAGCATGATACCTCACAAGCTGTGCTGCTTCTGCTTCATGTTCAAAGATGACACAAACATTGGAATGGATGAATGGTTTTTCATCTTTCCGTAGAGATTTGGAAATCTTGGATCGCTCTGAACACTACCTATTCGGCCTAGAAAGGTATAGTTGAGGCTAGATTTGTTCATGTGTGATCTGGCGCCCTGAGATGGGTGAAGAGGCCTGAGAGCTGTGCTGTTATGTCAATTGGTTATTTATGGGAGGCTGGGCCCGGTTCCCAGCAT